TGTGTCTCTTATCGACCCCCAGACAGCCCGCTTGACTGCTTCGAAAAATATTTTAAACCTAATTATGTTCATGCTCTGACGATGGGAAAGTTGATCATTCTTCTTGGAGACCTAAACTGCGATATGCTTAAGCCCACACCTGGATCAGCGTCTTTGATCAAGACGACAAAAGAACTCAACCTTAACCAGTTAATAAAATCACCAACAAGAATTACTGAATCGAGTCAGACCCTCGTCGACGTTATTTTCGTATCCTCGCCAAGACTAGTAGTCAACAGCGGCGTCATAGAAACCTGTATCAGCGATCATTTCCCTGTGTATGTATCACTAAAACTTAAAACCGACAAATCTCCACCAAACTATATCACTACCCGCAGCTACAATAAATACGACCCTGATTTGTTCGCGATCGATCTGGCATCCACCGTGATCGTCTTGTTTCCATTTTCAGAATGGACAATGTTGATGAAAAACTAACCATTTTTAATGAAATATTTTTAAATACATTGGATAAACACGCCCCAGTAAAGACCATAAAAGTACGCGGAAAATCTTGCCCATTTATCACCCCGGAAATAAAAGCATCCATGATCAAAAGAGACCAGCTCCACAGTCTTTTCAGGAAAACACGTGATCATTATGATTGGCTTAATTTCAGAGAGGCCCGCAATTTTACAAAAACCGCACTTGTTAATGCACAGAAAGAATATGTACTGAAGGAAGTTCAGCAACACAGAAACAATACTGGGTCACTTTGGAAGGTAATTAAAGAAAATATAGCGTATAGGGAAAGAGAGTCAGTGGTCTACAGTAAGGAACCGAAATTAGTGGCCGAAGAGTTTAATCATTTCTTTTCCACCATCGGCGTGAATGCAGCAAAGAAAGCCTCAACACTAATACAAGATCCTAGTGTTTATCCAGCTTGGAATCTTTCTGACGTAAATCGCACAGATAACAGCTACTCTGAAGAAAATGATAGATTTAGTTTCACCCCAGTCTATTGTTCAGAAATAAGGAACATCATATTAGCTATGCCGTCAAACAAATCACCCGGCAAAGACAAAGTGAGTATGCGTGTCATCAAACACAGCCTACCGGTAATTCTTGGGCCCCTCACCGATATCATTAATTGCTCACTGTCGTCATCTTCGTTCCCTATAGCATGGAAAGAGGCAGAAGTTATCCCTTTGTTAAAGGATGGAAACCACGAGGAAGCATCAAATAACCGCCCACTTTCTCTCCTTACCTTTCTTTCGAAAATTTGTGAAAAGTCGCCTTGAATCAATTTGGTTCGTATCTAATGAAGAACAAAAAATTGTCAACCCACCAGAGCGGGAACAAGAAACATCACTCATGCGAAACATTGAATCTTTTGACCGGAGATACTATCCTAAAGGCCATGGATGGGAAATTGGTTACTGCACTGATTCTAATAGATCTATCTAAAGCTTTCGACAGTGTAAATCCTACTTTTCTCCTTACAAAACTTAGCAACGTCGGGGCTTCTCCAAGCGTTGTAAAATGGTTTGAGAGTTACTTGACCGGAAGAACTCAATCAGTCAGAATTGGATCAGCTGTGTCTACTCCTCTCCCTGTTTCTTATGGTGTACCACAGGGTGCAATTTTATCACCTTTACTTTTTAGTATTTATACTAACGATTTGCCCTCATCAGTCCACCATAGTAAACTTGAATCGTACGTGGACGACTCCAAGATATTACTATCTTTCACTGTGGCTAACGTGGACTGTTTAAAGCAACAACGTGAGGAAGACTTGTATTTGATTGCAAACAGTTGTTCCGAAAATGAATTGCTTATTAACCCGGGAAAGACCAAATACATGCTGATTGGCACACGGCAAACCCTACAACAACTTCCCGTAGATATGACCATAAACTTCCTCAACGAGACTATTACCCCCGTCTCCTTTGCCAAAGATGTAGGAATGACAATCGACTCTTATTTGACATATGACCAGCACATCACCAACCTGGTTTCCTCATGTATGAATTCCCTGTGCCAAATAAACCGAGTCAAAAATGTTTCGATAAAGAAGCTTTAACTCTCATCGTCTCGGCACTTGTAATGAACAAAATGTTCTATTGTTCAACGGTTTGGTCAAACACTTCGTCTACCAACATTAAGAAACTACAGTTGGTACGAAATTTTGCATGCAGGATAATAACAAATATTGGAAAGTTCGACCATATTTCGCCGGGCTTACGCGAACTTAACTGGCTCCCAGTAAAGGAACAATTACTACTAAGAGAGGCTATTATGATGTACAAATGTGTCAATGAACTTGCTCCACATTATTTGAGCGATTTATTCACAAAACGTTCTGACATTCATCAACGAGATACACGTAGCCATGACTCACTGCAAATACCATTGTACAAAACTTCTGCAGGTCAAAGGTCTTTTCATTATAGAGGCGTTACACTCTGGAATGATTTGGACATAAAGTACAAAAAGTTAGACTCCCTAAAAACTTTCAAAAACGAACTGAAGCGAAGCATGCTAGAACAAATATATAAGTAGATAATTTTACCTTGTTAAATTTTATACAAATGTCTTACCTTTTTACCTTAATTTAAATTCTAGATTCTAAAACTTGTAAATAGAACAACATTTATTTTTTGTAAATCAGTGTTGAAAATCCCTATTTAGGGAACACAATAAAGTATGTATGTATGTATGTATGTACCTGTAATGATTAATGGGCTATATCAGTATAATCATTCAATCACTAAATGTCATCAATAATTATACATGATTAATTATTATAGCCCATAAATCAGTATTTTATAGCTCAGGAATCATGATATTCTACCCATGCATAAATGGTATTGATGAGCTGCCATGAATGAAAGGGTTATAATCAGACTGATGCTGACGGTGTTTTAAATCTGGCGCACACTATGCGATTTTAATCGGCCGATTAAAATCGCTTTGTGTGCGCCAGGTTTTGCATGCATTTTACTATATGTGTTTGTATAGGATGGGCCTAGGATGTACAAAAAAGTGCGCAATTGTAAAATGTCCACTAAATGAAAATACTGCAAAATTTGTGTCAACTTTATGTTTGTAATATGGGTAGTTTGGGTTCTTCTGGTATCGCCAAATTATTCTGAAAGACTGAAAAGTAAATTATCGAGCCCAGAAGGGCTATTTTCCAAAATCACTTTATAGCTGTTAGTATTTGCAGTGACTCTGCCTTACTGTGATCATTGGTACAAGTGATACAACTTGGTTAACTGATCTTTCTAGTTCGTTTCCAGATCTCAGCAGAAACGCAGCAGAAAATTGATCTTAATTCAATTTGCACGTGGAGTGACAGAGAAAAGGCGAACATAAAAATAAAGAGACTTAACTCGCCTAAAAACAAGGAAGTTGGGACCACTGATCGTGCTATACAGAGAAAAGTGAGAAGAATCGTCGCAGTTTCATTATGAACCAACGTAATAGGTGAATGCTGACAGAAAACATATTAAAAGCGCAACGGAAAAAAGGAAAACGACCAGCTTCGATAAAAATGGTATTAACAATTGTCGTCTTTACTGCACAGTCTGTCTTTAACTTTGATAATTGGTTTATAAATATTGTCATAGTCGAGGCTCCGCCTCTGACAACGAAACATGAAAACGTATAAAATTCATTACCATAAGGTAAGGAATTTTCCCAAATAATGTTCTTATTCGGTGTACAAAGAAAATGCAACGTACTACACATTGCTGGTGGGTGTAGACTGTAGTCGTCATTCCAGAACGCCCTATACAGGATATACTATACTGGAGGTGTATAAAAAAAACTGCACAGTTAGAAAATATCCGCTAAACTGCCACTGAGTCAGACGGATAGAGGAACACAATTTGTGGAAAACTTACAATATGGGGGGGGGTCCATTTGGCCTTCATATTGTGCCCTGAAGGCAAGTAAGTGCGTTTCTGTATGTCGGCGGCGTTAAAATGTCTTGTGCGCTCCTGCCGATACGGTTTTCTTAGAATTTGTATTACTGTATTACAGTTAAACAATGTGAAATTTCAAATACATTTCTAACAAAACTTACTTACATCATTGGAAAGCTTGCAAAAACTACAAAAACGACATTTAAACAGTTACCATGGAGGGTTTTCAAGTTCTTCTTGAGTTATGAGCTGTTTTCAGAGAAAGCGTGTTTTAGACTTATATTCTAGTACCCAGGATTTTTGCAAGATTTTGGCTTTATAGCAATAACTCGAAAACTACTTGAAAATCCCAGCTAACCATTTAAATGTCTTAGATGTAGTTTTTTGTATAAGCTTTCTGTTTATTCAAGTCATTTGTATTAGAAATGTTTTTTAACTGTAATATAGTTTAATACAAAATTCAAAGAAAAACATGTCAGTAAGAGAGTACAAGAATTTTAACGTCGTCGACATACAGAAATGTACTCACTCGCCTTCAGGGCTCAAGATGCAGGAGAAATGGAATTTCCCTTCGATGTGATCAGTTTTTCTCTCCTATCTGCCTGACTGTGCCAATTACGCAAAATAAAATTGTGAAAACTTTACGCATGCATGCATGTGTAGTTTGGGGCTTGCTAGTTTCTTTACAATAATTTTATTTTGAAAAGTTAATTTTGGAGTGGAGGAAGATGTTTTTGAAAACCACTTTAATTAAAAATGACTTTCGCACAAAAAGTGGAAAGCTTACAACTCAATTTGAATTCATTGAGGGCAATTTAGAAGGTATATTTGATAAACTATCAAGGTATACCAGACAATTTGATGTATATAAAGTGCTACGCGCGACCGTCAAAACTTGTAGTTGTTGTAGTAGCCTTTCACGCATAAATTTAAAGGCGTTTTCTAAAGAAATCAATCATGCATAAAATCAATCATGCACGATTGCATGAAATCAATACGTCCTGCGTTAAAAATAATTGTGCGTAGACAGATAATACGACAAAAGTCTACGTTTCAGGGGTTGTATGCGCATTGGACTACATCAAACTGCCTGGGCAAGTATTTCGATAGTTCATAAACCACCTTCCAAATTTGCACCCCAAGAAGTTAAATGTGCACAAGCCAAGGTTTTCAAAAACAACCTTCCTGTACTCGAGCATTTACTTTTGAAAATTGTTTTATTGGGCCACTAGCAGACCCCAAACTATCTATACTTGCATAAAGTATTCAAAAATTGTGCGGAACAGGAATTTGCACTTTTATAGCAGGCATTTTCGAACTGCTAGGTTTTTGTTATACACCTTGTAGTATAAAACGATTTTAGTGTGAAAGAAACAATTAATTGAATTTGCACCTACGGCTGTCGAACAAATCGCATTGAGTAGAATATATGTTGCATTTTGTGATGTATGCACTGACTAAATTAGAGTAATTTATTATTTTAGTTAGAGAAGTTTGTGCTATGACGTTTTGCCTAAAGGAGGTTTTCCAGTCCTCGCACGAAGCTCTTCGCAGCTCGCTGCGAGTGCTTGCATCTAATTAAAATTTAATGTTTTGCATTGTGATTGGATGAAAGTGCTCATGCATGCACTCGCAACGAGCTGCTAGGAGCTTCGTGTGATGACTGGATAAACGCCCTAACAATACAACTAGTAACGCCGATACGTAAAACTTGGGTATGCAACTTTGCTCCCGATTCAAAAATTGTGGAACAGTCAATAGTTTTTGATGGGCGTATTTATCAGTTAAGATGTGCTTCCATCTGTATAAAATGAATGCTAGAACTTCAAGCTCCAGTTTTCCTTTAACGATTTGATTTTATGCTTTTTTAAAGCTGCAATCTCGTTGACGTATCCTCCTCTGAAAACGTGAAATTTAATTTTGCAAATTTAGCAATATCTCCTCTTCCTTTAAGAATGCCAGCAAAGAACTAAATATAAGACACCTTTAATCAGGCCGTTACCTGGACTTAAAATAAATATATAAGTTAATTGAGTTAGCTGAGCCGTAAAAAAACGGAAATCCTCCTACTATTTAACTGTGATCTTCCAGTTTTGTTCATCTTACGATGTCGGAAATGCAGATTGTACGAAACTGATATCGCAAAGACTCGAAATTCTAAGGCCTAAATTATTTTGAAGTTTTATTCCATTTGCATTCATTTTTTTATGGTTGTATGCACGTCTATATGATTATAAATTATATACTAGGACCTAGGTGCACTACGCTTTCCTCGTGTTTCTGATACTAATAAGACTGTATATGCACTCTCAGTATATACAGACTATAGCAGTATTTGAAACGTATTTAATAATATATGAAGAGTTTGGTGTTGTCTGCATGCAGGATACAAGTGGTGTTTAGATGCTTGTAATTTTATGTGATTGATTTATTATTTAATTAAAAACTTATTTTTTGTTACTGACTTTTTGTTGTATCATTATTACGCTGGAACCAAATTAACTCGTTGTTGTAAAACAATGCCTCTATATGGTAAAAGCGAAAAGTGCATGGAAATCTGGGAATTAATTTACTTGTACATGATCATGCTTAAGCCTTGTATTATGACAATGAGTTTATTTGATTTTCTTTTCGCGGGATCTCGTTCTGAAGAAGAAAATCCGCCTATGATTCACGATAACGAATTATTGAAAGGATTTGCCCATGGGAAAAGTTGATGTATAATTAGTTTTTGTCATAAATTTGCTACCGATGCAAAATGTTTCAAAGTACGTTTCTCCCAAGCGTGCAAAAGTATTCGTAAAGTTTTGAAAGTCGATCTTTGCATTAAATTTGCAAACGAGCAAATTTGGTAATAATTATTCTTTGCCTGCACAATTCCATTGCGTAAAGCCGTTAGTAAAGTTTCAGTTTTGCAAACAAATTTGCTAACGAAGCAAATTTATGCATAGTTGATTTTTACAACACTTCTGCAACAACTTTACATATTGCCTTGACGGCAATGGCTAATATACAGCGGGTGTAAAGTTGTTGCATTTATCATATTTACTAATGTGTAAAACCAAGTGAATTCGGTAAATTTAACCTTTGCAACATCTTTACGATATATTTTGCGCGTGCGTAAATGTATATTTTCGTCCCGTGCGCCTTGTTTGCTTTTTATCGCCGAATCTCGCAAATATCATCCAGTTATTGTACTTTTACTTAATCATAAATGGCTGAAGAAGATTTCAAAGAAGGTTTCATCCACTTTTGTAACAGGGCAGTGTATTTTACCTTCGATATTAGGGCCATTTATACGGAACAAAATAAGACGCGACTTACATAAGACGCAACTTAAATAAGACGCGAGTTTGTCTATAAAAGGTACAAAATTCTTATGTAAGACGCGTCTTGGATAAGACGCGTCTTACATAAGAACAGGCCTTTTAACTGTTCTTATCTAAGTCGCGTCTTAAATAAGAAATGTTGGACAAAAAGTCTAACTACACATGCCAGAAACTTGAAACAACGTAAAATTATTAGCCTTGCATATTAAAACAAAAACAAACAAAACAACATTATAGCTATAGCAAATAAATAAGACCAAAGCCTTAGAGAACCATTCATGCGATAACTCCGCTTATTTAAGTCGCGTCTTATGTAAGTCGCGACTTATTTTGTCCCGTATAAATGGCCTTAATGTGTCCTTCGATATTCCGCCAAATTGCCGCCATTTTAATGGCTCGCCGCTTCTCTGTCTGATTAGCCTGCGAGCAGGCTACTGTCTGATAAATGCAACTTCTTCGTTTCCATATGTATTTAGATTACAGTATCCAAGAGCACTTCATTGTAGAATAGTCCCAATCGAAAAATTGGCAACATTTGTCCCATTAGGAAGGAAAAATCCTCCCGTATACCATTTAGGTTCAAAATAAAAAACATATCATTTGAAAGTCACGCGCAATCTTCGCGAAAACTCACTCGTGGATACATGCCAGGGGGGGGGGGTAGAATATTTTCACGAATATTGTATTTATTGTATTTTTATGATTTATGACAAAGATACGCAAACATTGATTGTTTTTATTATAAATCATAAAAATACAATAAATACAATATATTTAGTTATGTTTCTGTGGTGGCCAACATATTCATGAAAATATTCAGCCCCCCTGTCATGTGTCCACGAGAAGTTTTCGCGAAGCTTGCGCGTGACTTTCAAATGATTTGTTTTTTATTTTGAACCTAAATGGAATACGGGAGGATTTTTCCTTCCTAATGGGACAAATGTTGCCAATTTTTCGATTGGGACTATTCTACAATGAAGTGCTCTTGGATACTGTAATCTAAATACATATGGAAACGAAGAAGTTGCATTTATCAGACAGAGAAGCGGCGAGCCATTAAAATGGCGGCAATTTGGCGGAATATCGAAGGACACAATATCGAAGGTAAAATACACTGCACTGTTACAAAAGTGGATGAAACCTTCTTTGAAATCTTCTTCGGCCATTTATGAATATGTACAAGTACAATAACTGGATGATATTTGCGAGATTCGGCGATAAAAAGCAAACAAGACGGCAAAATATGGCTGAAATCGTGTTTTCGTGGGGGGTAAGGGAAATAAAATGTATTATATTTAAAGAAAACAATGACAAATTATCCTTATGAAATCAACAATATTTATATTAAATTAAGCATAGTTTTTCACCCCATGATAATTTTTTTTAGGAAATAAGAATATTTAATTTCTGCCAGGCATATTAGTTATTTTGTGCATAATCAGCAATTTACCTGGGGTGGTGCATAGTCATTTTTTGGTAAAATATTATACTTAAACAAATTTTTCCTTCCAATGACCACCCCTAAAAGCAACCCTTCTACATACATACATACATACATCAACTTTATTTAAACACGAAAAATCATCAGTATAGTTATTTACAAAAATATTAAAAAATTTTAAAAGGAGCAAAAAGAAATATAGATACTGTTCTACCTGATTGCCGTGTGGGAGTCAGATCGATTACTTATTAAGAAGGCTTCTAAACCTGTCTTAAATGCAGCGAGAGAGGTTACTGATCTAAGAGATTCTGGCAGGCCATTCCATAAAGAGGCTCCACTGTAACTGAAGGAGCGTTTCAAATAATCTGTGCGTGGTTTTGGGACATAAAGTTTACCATAAGAATCTCTCAGGTTATAAACACTCTCACTGGGAGAAAACATCTCTTGTAAATAGAATGGTGTATGTTTATTACTAGTATTAAACATGAGGATTGCCTTTTGCTTTAATCGCTTAGTGGACAATGATTCCCAATTAAGTTCTTCAAGAAGGGAACTTGATGAAATATCATAAGATGAACGGGTAATAACACGGGCGGCCCTATTCTGTAATTTTTGTAATTTTTCGCTTTGCTTTTTACCTAGGCCATCCCAAACAGGGGCACAATAGGAAAAATAGGGCTCCACCAAACTTTGGTAAACTCGAATTGCAGTTTCTGTGGTAATAAAATCTCTCATTCGTTTCAGAGCGCCGATGCCCGAAGAGACTTTTTTGGTGATATTATCAACATGATATTTCCAAGTCAAGTTCTCATCAATTGTTAAACCTAATGACTTAGACTTCAGCACTCTATTAATCTGTTTATTGTTAACACATACTTCCACATTCTGATTATCAAAGGTTGAAAGTCTTTGACGAGATCCAATAATCATAAATTCAGTCTTGGCAATATTTAAACTTAACTTATTTGCCTCTAGCCATGTGTTTAAATTGGCTATTTCAGCATTCATAAGATTTTCTAGCTCAGAAAGATTATTACTTTGCATGCTGATGTCGTGTCATCAGCATACATTCTAGGTAAACCCTCGTTCAAGCAGTTAGGCAAGTCATTGATATAGATCAAAAACAGAAGTGGGCCTATAATAGAGCCTTGCGGAACTCCATGGGAGATAGAACGACTACCAGAGAGTTTGCCATTTACGTAGCATTTCTGTTTTCGATTGCCTAAATAGGAATTAAACCACGATAGCGCATTGTCATCCACACCATAACACTTGAGTTTACGTATAAGAATTTCGTGATCAATTGTATCGAAAGCTTTCTTGAGGTCAATAAAGATCACTCCGTTAAGTTTGCCCTTATCAATATTTACGCACCAGTTATTAGTCGACTCTAATAAAGCTGTAACGGTACTATATGATGCTCGAAACCCTGACTGATAGTTCGACAGTAAGTTGTTACTTGTCAGATAGGAGTAAAACTCACTTTACGAGAGTTCAGATCGTTGACTAGTCTCCAAGTTTTCCTTGGATCTTTTCGTGCAGCCTCAATATTAGTGATAAAGTAGTTATGTTTAGCCTGCCTAATAGTGTTGTTAGTTTCATTTCGAGCTTTCTTATATTGTAACCAAATTTCATCGTCACGTGTAATATCGAATTGCCTTTTTAGATAATCTCTTTCGCGAATTTTCTGAACTACATGTGAAGTAATCCAGGGAGACTTTCGTTTCCCTATACGTTTCTTTTTAAGTGGGGCATGTTTATCAATCACAGCCATAAACAAATTCAACCATTCAGTCCACTATAAGCACTAAACACTTTAAGCTTCTAAACACTATAAGCACATCAGAAAGGCTATCGCTTTTCCTTTTCGGAAGTTAGAGCTATGTCGACACTGCCGTTTCAGGGCGGGGTTATTTTCAGGACTTTCATCCCAGATTCAGGTTTTCGCCGCGGCATATGCCATGTTGACCGCCATGGTCATTTTACCCTAAAACAGTTTTAATCAATTACCTGTCCTAAATGAATCGCATACAAACTCATATACAGGTCGATCGTCCTAGACTATTTGGCGTTCTTTTACGCGCGTAATTACGTTCATCATTCAATCTTATACTATGCTGAAAATTTCAGTTCAATTTGTTGTCGGTCGCGGACTGAAAGGATACTGCCTTCACTGAAACTCTTGGACCGTTGAACTGTCGTCGAAACTTTTAGCTTATATGTAAGTCCTGTCATTCAACTTAATTCACATGTATTGTTTTATCGGCTAAATCTAATACAACAGTTACGAGTTAAGTTCTTTGTATGTTTGCATGGCGATAAAACATATAATAGTTTTGTTTGTGGAAACACCACGTAATTTTATTACTGCAAAGCTTTCCCAGTTCGATTCGTAAGCCCGGATCTTCATCAGTTCTATAATAATATGAGTTGTTTTATACGGAAAGTCAAACTTAGCTAAACGTTTTGAAAAGTTCTCACGCCGATTTTAACAACAAAAACAAATTCAGAGAAACGCTGCATTAATACAATGCGTAATGATATTTTAATTAATTATTATTAGTATTTGCAATATTTTTAATCTTTTATATTCATGTCAAAGTCAAAATATCTGTTTTCATTTCATTTTGTTGTTCACACAGTATAATTTAAACGCATGCGCAGATAGCGATCTTGGCGATTCGCAATTTTATCGAATCAGCAACATTAACTCGATTTTAGGACCGATTTCTCGGCCCTTCTGTGAGATTTTTTAACAGTTTGCACATTTGCTAAGCACAACGAGTAGTAAAACATATCAAGATTTCAAGAAATTCTAAACAAAGATTTTTCTGTAATTGCCACTCATGTGCCATATCTCAAAAACTTATCCTACAATTGCCCTTTAAATTTTGATATGTTACTCCTTTATGGACCATAAATCGTCAAACAAAATTTTCGAATAATTCACCGAAGGACAAAAGATACTGCCGATTCATTCTGAAATTAGATAATAATAGTGCAAAATATAAAACGCCATTTGTTAATATGAACAGCACACAGCGCTTCTATACTTTCCTGGGAATGATGGTATTATACCCTCTCTTAAGTGTATTCATTATAAATTTGGTTAAAAGCGAAGGTTACTCAAATACATCAAATTTTAGAGAACTGTAGAGAGCAACCTTAATGTAAAATTCAACCACAAAGTGACAAACGCTTTGCAAAACGTTTTAAATAAAACGTTCATTAAACTAAACTACCTTTTATCGATAAACTTTGTGAGTTTGAAATAAATAAATTATGCAATTTTTCGCTTGCCGAAAATAACTTTACTCTCCTGTTTATTTACAGATTCTAATTAAACAATCCAACATAATAAAAAGTAAAAAACGCGGTGCAATCGTTTTCAAATACATCGAGTCACCGAATACGCTGTCTGTTTTCATTATATGAGCATCAGTTTTTTTAAAACAATTATATTAAAGCAAACAATACATCAATATTTAAATCAAATTTACCTTAGCCCTTAGGAATTAGGTTTTACGATTTCCAGCAATCTATTGCCCCTGAACTTTTTTATGAAGCAAAAACAAATAAACTGTTTAGCTGCGGAGTTATCTCATTAATGTTTTTTGGGTTTCTGATTAATGTTTTTCACTTCTTTCCTCCGCAAATTCCCCTCTTTCCAGTGATGAAATTCGACATATTTTTTATATCTGTGAGGAGATCCGCCCATAACACGATAAAACATAGCCACGCGCGCCCGAAATAAGTGATGAACTTTAGACTTTCCTTTCCCTTGGTAAAAATAGCCGAGTGGAATTAGTACCCTCACCCCTTAAACCAGTAACGTCAACCTAAAAGAGAATTAAAAATATAAGGTCCGCAAATATTCTTTTATGTTCAGGCGCAAACAATCTCCCCCCCCCCAGCCAAGAATTTTGGAAAGAGAAATATTAATTGGGAAAAATGTTTTCAATATGTAGTATAGTGGAAATGACTCGGGAAAATTTCACTTACATTCCCTCATTCAAATAGAGCTAGCGCCACCACTTCTCATAATCCACTTGTGCATAGCAACCAGCTAAATCTTTTGTTAGATAAACCACTTTCCTTGAAAGAAGTTTACTTCGAGTAGGCCATATTCCCAGTTATATCATTATGTTAGCTCGATCGATGTCTCTGTAGTAAACTAGATTCATTAAACATATATCAAGTGCATTTGCTATTTAAATTTATGAATTATTTAGTTGGTTAGGCACAGTCTTTGAAAACCATCCGTGTTCCTCTGAAACGTTGCCGTTCATTGTAAATAAATATAAATGCTACTTATATAATAATAGTGATACGTTTTGTGATCGTGTTCGAACCCTCATCCATGCGTTCTTGTTATATCTGTTATCTATACTACACTCAGATAGACATATTCCCAGCAACGTGCGTTGTTCATTCATGCCACAAGCCAACAGATCCATTGTTAAAAGTTATCCAATGATAAGAAAAAAATTCGAGAAGCCAAGCTATATGGCGAAATAAATTAAGTGTGATCTGATATTTCAACTTTCGGCCATCAATGACCCACCGACGTAAACACATTGCAGAAAACTGCGGTGTCGATATATTGTCTGTCAGTGCCGTTGTTGTTGTCCTTCGACGACTTGTCTGGTTGTCTGAAAATAATTATTGATAATGTGAATGTTTATACATAATTTTTATGCATAATGTCATTTTGGGTCTGTACACAGGCTACTTTGGTTATACGACAACTTTAAATTTTGACGTACAGAACAATGTTTTTGGCCCGCCTATTGCATTTACACAACGAGTATGTTTTATTTTAGAAATCCACTCTTACATTCAGAGCCTGTCTGCAGTATGACTTGCATGCAGCAGAGGAGCGTTATACCCAGTTTACACGGTACCGTACGAATTTGGAACCGGGCTATTTGGAACCGCCATCTTGAAAACTGATCTGTATAGTAAACTGGAGCACTGGCAACCGAGCCTGCGATGCGCTAACGCAAACTCGATTCCTCGACGACGAAAAATACAGAGAATTAGGCCTTACAGGCCAGTGTAATAACAAGGTAACATCTTCAGTCTGTCCAAACAAATGTTTTCCACCATTTTGAAAACTTGGGCAACGTTACGCGCATGCGCCCAATAACAAAATTCAGTCTGATGGAACTGGGTTCTAGGTTAGGACTTCACGATCTACAATTCTTCCGGTAAAGTGAAAAGACTAGAAAATCAGGACCAGAATTTGCACGGTTCCGTGTAAACAGGCGAATCGGACGAATTTCTGCCCGGTTCCAAATTCGTCCGGTACCGCGTAAACGGGGTCTTACAAACAAATACAGACTAAATTAAAATCTTGATTTGAGTCGTTAAAGGTACGCTTGTGTTGTTCTAACTGCTAACATTTGAGAATCGAGATGCTTAAAAACTTCAATTTTAACTATTATTAACCATATTTTCTTTATATACCTGTTGAAACCGCTGGCATCGTACGATTGAAAATATTATTCTTTTGAAGGTACTCCTAAAATCTTTATTTCTGTACGAATATACAAATGGGTTGACGCCGCTATTTATGTACTGCATCAACTTGGGAAAGCGCCTCACATGCACATTATGTACATGGTGCTGCTGCCATGGAGGCCAGTACTGATGTACCAAATTCACTATGAAAAAGGGCGACCAAGCTATAGTAAATAAACCAGAGACAATCAAAAGTGTTATTATAATTTTGCGTTGAGATGCCCAGTTGAACGGTTGGTTACTCACTTGTGAATTTAAGTTTCTTTTCTTAACACAACGGAATAACAAATAATATGATCCTGTCATTATTGCCAAAGGAATTACGAAGCATACTAGCGTGTTACATATTGTATACCATTTAACGTTGATCAAGCCTGTATAAGGAAATACATATGTTAAAGAGCACATAGTGGCCAGAATCCAAACCAAGAACACAGTACGATAGTGAGATGAACTTGACATCGTACGATGACGGAGTGGAGCTACTACGGAGAAACATCGCTCCATACTAATAGCTGTCAGTTGAAAGATAGACGCAGATCCGTTGAATATGTCAAATAAGGCAACAAGCCCACGCATATAAGCGCTATCACTATCATTAAAAGATGCATCAAAGTAAATCCAAAGTGGTATTGATATTAGACCCACCAGAAAATCACTAAATGCCAAGCTAACAAGACCGAGGTTTGTAGCAGTGCGTAGTTTGTAGTTCAACTTGAATGCAATGATAACAAAAATGTTTCCAACCACAATAGTTAAAGACAGCATGCAGCAGAAGACTAAATAAACGATGCCCTCTCTGTTAAAAAGTTCTATTTTTCCCGAAGATATTGAATCGTTTAAAGATGTTGTATTATTCAGCTGTTTCTCCATTTTTACTGATGAACTGAATGATTTTTATATGGTCGTTTACGACAAAGGATAAACATTCGCAGATACAAACATTATCTATTCTCTGGCCGGAGAAGCATTACTGTTTTCCTTTTTACGCGTTTCAGCATCTGGCAGTGTAATTAAATATTAATTATTTTAATTTAATCAGTGATCGGCTGGTCATGTCTAATTAGCCTCACGTAGCTAGAGCCATTATTAAAACCTCGCAGGCGCGTGCTTGTCATTATCAATAGAGACCTTAAGATTGACGTTTACGGCAAACGTCAAACCGCTAGCGAGGTTTTTGATTTTACAACTCTATTATAATAGCTTTTACACCAGTTTTGAAATATGTTAAACTTGTTAAACTTGTGCTCTTTAGCAATGATTTAAGAAAGCAAATTAACCACTAGTCATGCAATTCACAAAAGCAGTAAATTAAGATTTGGCGTTTGAAGTTGGCGTTTGGCGTATAAATTTCATGCTTTAACGACTACAAGCCCTCGTAGCAGTTCAAGCATGAAATATATACGCCAAACGCCAACTTCAAACGCCAAATCTCAATTTACTGCTTTTGTGAATTGCATGACTAGTGGTTAATTTGCTTTCTTAAATCATTGCTATAGAGCACAAGTTTAACAAGTTTAACATATTTCAAAACTGGTGTAAAAGCTATTATAATAGAGTTGTAAAATCAAAAACCTCGCTAGCGGTTTGACGTTTGCCGTAAACGTCAATCTTAAGGTCTCTATTATGCATGCATATATATTATGCAAACATTAATTGGGGTTTCGCGTGGAATAATTACAAACAATATTATACATCTGAATGGGTAAATAGTTCTTATTTGATCCAGAATGTTACGTTTGCTAATTGAAATTTTTAGTGCAAGCTATGACGCAAAACATCCAAACCGACAAACCGATCGATGCAAGTTCGAGATCACGACAATGTATGAGGAATGAACTCTGGAGAAACATAGTAATGTCAAGAATAGTGTGCTGCCCCGTTGCGCTCTGCAGCAACCATGATTTTACGACATGAACTCGTATATATGTGCAATGTAAACTTTGATGTCGAACTTTTTGTGGATCTTCTTCCAAGATTGACTGAGCTATTATATCGGTTTGGATTAAATTATTTCACGTTGGTGTTTTGCGTTATATCTTGTAGTCTTATATACCCTGAATTAAGCTGTGGCGATGCTAGCCATAGCCTGCGTGCAGCCTGACTTTTTGCAGGGTGCACGCAGGCTATGCTAGCCATGATACTATTGATATAGTTTCTCCTCATGATCCTGATTGCATACAGAGGAAAATTAATTACTTTCAATTAATAATAATTAGTATAGGTAATCATGCGATGGCGAGTTCAATTAGGGATTAATTATAGTACGAGTGATGTTTGTTTTGTACTCGCCCCGGCGGCTCGTCCAATTTTGGCAATATTTCCAAACATTACGAGTACTATTAATCCTTAATTGTACGAGCAACATCGCATGATTACTTGTTTATTATTAGCATGATAAAATTGGATACTTAAATTCTCAATGTCGACATTATATTCTCTCGCCAAAGCCCAGTCCAGCCAGACATGCATTCAACCAAAATTTGGTGCTTTTGTTCGTATTTTCATTTAGTTCTTTTGTTAAAGCAAATTTTGGTGCTTTTGTTCGTATTTTCATCTGGTTCCTCTAGGGCAATTTCATTTCACATTTGTGTTGAAAATACCTTTCGCCAGTTTGTCATTTTGGGAAAATCATTAATTGTACTGCAGTACAATTAATGAAATAATTGTACTCCTCTCAAGCAATCAGCATCCAGTAATTTTGTCATGCTAATAATATGTACTTTAATAAGGGACTGCTGTTTTTGTAATAAAATATAGTAATAAATTAAAAGATCAGCGAAGTCATAAGAATCAGGGATGTAGGAAGCATCAAAGATTGGGGGGGGGG